GTACACCGAAGCGAAGAAGGCGCGTGTTGAAGGCGAGAAGGGTCCCGAGACGGATCAGGAGAGGATGGGCGAGGAACCGGAGCAGATGGAGGAGAGGGTGGTCGAGTTCCGGAAGATTCTGGAGGACTATTCGGCTGAGGCTTTTTGCGTGGGTGGGCAAGTGCCGTTGCGGAAGAAGTTTTCGAAGATCGTGTGCTGGCCGGCTGTAGCTGAGGTTGCAGCTAAGTCCCCGGCAACCGAGGGCCGTTCAAGTCCATGGGTGATAAACCTGCTAGAATGCACAGAGAAGGTGCTGGCGGGGCTGCAGTCAGCGGGGTCGCCATCGCCATTCGGGCGGGGGTCGGAGAAAGTGTTCGACGAACGTGTGCGCAAGGCCGTTGAGTTCCCGGCGGAACGGATGGCGTCGCAGTTTGTACCGGTCTTCAACGCGGAGTTCTGCAGCAGGATCCAACGGCTACTGGGTGGCCGCAGTTTCTTCCTCCAGCCACACAAACTGAACGTCTACGGCGAAGGCGCACACTTCGCCAAGCACAAGGACACCATCCGTGACCCGCGCATGGTCGCCTCCGTCGTCGTCTGCTGCCCCACGAGCTTTGAAGGGGGTGTGCTCTCACTCGTAGACAACCGTGGCATTCAAATCGACTTCGACTGGAGCCAGTCCGCCCTTACGCCTGGAAACAACCCCGACAGAGGCAGCGCCGACGCAGGCGGCGCCGACCGGGTCATGAACTGGGCCTGCTTCTTCTGCGACGTGGACCACGAAGTCTCGCCGGTCACAAAGGGCACCAGGTTGACACTGACCTACGACGTGTGCATCGACTCCACTGACAGCGAACGTGGCGACAGCGGAAGCGGCGGTGTTGTCAAGGCGGAGGTCGAGCAGGACTCTAAGGCCCAGAAAAGGTTGGCCGAGAGTCTTGGGTTTCTCTCTGGGTCTAGGCTCAAGCGGAGGCGTGGTGTGGAGGAGCAGAAGTCTGAAGTTGAGCAGAAGTCTGAGGTCGAGCAGGGCAAAGGGAACGAGGTAGCGTCACAGATAGCGAGCAAGGTGGAGTCTCGCAGTGAGGAGCAGTTGTTAACCCTGTTGGACAAGCTGAACGGCGCGCACCGCTACGGTTACTATCCGGCGCATGATTACGCCTTCGGGGCCACAGACACTTGGACGGGTGAAAGGGACTGGGAGTCGCAGCTGAAGGGTGTGGACCTGCAGTTGCACAGAGCGTTGATGAAGCGTGGCTGGGTCGCCAAACTGTTCGCGCTGTACGCCGAGTTGGATTTATACGGACCCGCGATCCACTTCAACGTCGGCCTTGACCCTGAAGACCCGGTGAGCATGGAGGATGCTATTGACTCCGAAGAGTTGGAGACGTTGCGAAGCATTACCGAACTCCGAATGATCAATACCCCACAACGAGATCCCTCTGCCATCTATGTGTACTCATTCTGGTACGGATCTACCGGTAACGAACCCTTCGAGGGACACGACTCGTACTACGCTCGAACCGTCCTCGTTTTCAGCAAGTCACCAATCACAAACGACAGAGATCACACAACGTTATAAGCTCATTTTTTGTGGGTGCCGTTCTATTTGGTCCTCACCGACCGGGGCCGTGTGTCCCCACGCCCAGTGGCGCCCGTATGCCATTGCCGTAAGCCGTTCTTGTTGACTGCGCACAGCACAGACAGTGCAGGACACGAAAAAAGTTAGTGACTCTCCAACTCCGTTTAAGTGTTAAAACGGGAAGGTGGCCCGCGAATTGTCTGTCAGTACTCAGGGAAGATCTTGCTCATCATGTTGTCGAAGCCTTTGAAGTAAAGGCCACTGGAGACGTACTCGACGCAAACAGTGGCTCTTGTGCGCGTTGAGATTATCCAGTTCGTAAGGGAGTCTTCGCCAAAGGTGAGAACGGTAGGTGGAATTGTACGGAAGGTTTCAGTTCTTGTTGCTGCCCATCCATTGGCGCAAGTTAGGACGTATTCTGGTTCGTCCTCGGCGTTGCATTTCTTTTCGAGCCAGGCAACGGATTCGGCCTCGTCAACAAGTTGTTCATCGGAAAGGCCGCTTTTGTCGAGCTTTTTGACTTCTTCGATCATTTCATCGCATGAGGGGAGGAATTGGAGCTGTGGCCACCCAACTAAGGAGCCTTCCTTAGTTTGGGTCTTTTTGTAGCTGGTGCTAACGCTGGCTTCAGCTTCATCGAACCTGAATAGGCTCAGGGCGTATTCGACATCGATTCGTGTTTGCATCAACTGTTCGGCGATGTCCATAAACGTAATCTTCATCTGCTTCGTCGGATCATTCGCCAACCATTCTCGGTCCAGATTGATAAGGTTGTAGGCAAACTCCGAGGCAAAATTTGTGTAACTTGTCAGCACTTGCTTCACTTCTGGGTACTTCTCCATCAACGCACGCCGGAACTCAATTGCATCCAAACCAATCATGTCATCACCATCCGCGATCATATAGTACTCCTTGTCCGTCATCGCACTCCCCATCCATCGGGATACACTCGGACCTCCAGGTCCGTCGTACACTCCCCAACGCAACCTCACGTTCTTAGGCAAATTCGGAATATATTGTTCCTTCAAAAGCTCCAAATTGCCCATCAGACTGGTTTTCACCTGTCTTCGCTCTTCCTCCCTCATACTCGGTTCCAAGCCCGTGATGAAAAGAATCTCACCCGGTACCTTCCGAATATTTAACATAGATTCCATCGACGGCCACACGTTGTTCAACTTCCTAGCACCCACAGGAATCATCAAACAAACGTCATCTAACGTTTCACGATCCTTCAACCCTACTTCGTGAAATACCTCAGAGATATTACGCCAGACATCTATCATCGACCGCATCTTCATCAATCTCCCATCCTCTGCTTCCGCCTCCGATGTGCCATTCGCCAGAATCATTGTTGTGTCCAATACCGGCTCCTCGCTTGCCGAATCAAAAACCCAACGTAAAGACTTGAAATAATTACTCACGTCAGTTACATAATTATACGACGGTAAACCCTTAGCAAGGTAGGTAGGCAACGTTACCGAAGCCAGGGTTGACGAAGATAAGTCTGTCGTCGCCAACAAGGTTGTCGGAGACAAGGTCGTCAGGACCAAGGGTGTCGTGCCCTCCTCCGCAACCGCAACAACCGATAGAAGAGCAGCCGCGCAGGCTTGTAAGACTTTATACATCATTTACTACGAAAAAGGAAAATTAACTATTGTTTCGCTGTTGCACACGCGTGTGCTATGGCTTCCAGACATACCGCTTCCAGACATGTCTCCGCTCCCAAGCAATCTAAAACCAGTGAGATTCTTTTTGTTGATTTGACGCTTCATAGTTCGGCTACTGTGGCAGTTGATTCTGTCCGGACTACTGGCTGCAGTGGTTTTTTCTCATTTGAACGCTTTTGGATGCACAGGCTCGCATTGTCCTGATATTGACGCTCTGCCTCGTAAGTTCCGTCCTTAAATCATCTCCCAGATTCGATTGTTATTACTAGATTCGCCGTTGCAACTGCTATTATTTCGGTATGTGCCGAAAGCGATGAAAATGGCTGAGTATACGAACAAGATTGCCTGCGATAAAGGGTTCTTATCAGCCAAAGCTTGCCAGAATTTATATGGCATAAGCTTCGTTGCAAGTTTGGTCGAATGGACATTCCTAGGGCTAACGGGTACGAGGATTCTGGCGGTTCTTTTGAAGATGAAAATTACTCGATTGATCACTTTGTTACTGCTATTCTTCGCCAGCTTATATTTCTTCACCGCGGTAGTTGAAACATACCTGTAAGGACGTTCACCCTGCTGATTCAACCCTGTTAATTTGACCCTGCTAGCTCGACTGCGTCAGCCAGATCTAACCCAGATTGCGCTGGATCTATGAGGGAACTTTGAGCCACTCATCCGAGTTTTTTTTAGGTCTGAGTTGCTTCCGCAATTCCTACTGAACTACAACGTCCTCCTGAAGGACTGGTTATCAGGAGGTGTATTGTTTTCATCCGGCGTATTGAACTCATTTTTGAAGCTATGGCGAGATGGTCAAGACCAAGAATTCCCGAAGCAAGCACTGTTTTCGGCTTTTAGAAAAATGGCTGGAGTGGACGACGCGCAACCGAGTTATGCGCGACTGAGCTCCGAGCTTTAGATGGTGGCCAGCTAAGCAATGTTGGAAGCAGCGTCCCTCCATTGTTTGAGTAGATGACTGAAGTTGTCTCTTGCACTTTTACTCTTGAACCGGAGGCAAACCGGCTCTTCCTGAAGTCCGTACAGCGCTAAGAGGTTTCCGTCTTGGCAACTCACTACAAAATAGACCAATTATGATTATGGATCGAGATTGAACACACTGGTAGTGAAGCTTACTTTTGTGTGCGCTTTTTGCGTCTTGTAATAGTTTGTTGCAGGCGCCAGGTCTGATGGAGGTACATTTGAGTACAGGCGCGGTGTTCTCGAAGTTGCTGGCGTGTTTGCCTTCGCCCCATTGGAGTCGGGTGAGATCCAGGGAAGCTTTCCAGGTGTATCGCTCTCCTTTGAGGCGGTCGGGGGTGATGACGTAAAAGTCGCCACCTTGTCTGAGAATCTGTTTCACGGCAGGTGGGAGGTCCTGAACGCCGTTGGCATTGTCTCGTTCGTCTACGGCGATACGGTCGAAGTCGAAGCGGAAGGAGGCGTGTTTGAGGAAGGAAAGTGGTGTGCTATCGGGATCGAGAGAGAGCGCGCCGACGGAACTAACATACCTGCGCTCCACCTTGTAAACCTTGTCGATGCCGCGTTCCGCTCGGATGAGAGCCTGCGCAAAAGCTTCGTGACTCTTGTAGACGGTGAAGGTGTCTTCATCGGCAAGCGCGGCAACGTTGGCGGCGATTCCAGCGATCACATCCGCATACAGGACATTACCGGCATTGTCGTCCAAAATGGCAGTCGCGGTTGGGAAAAAGTTCGCGTTGAAAAACGCGTTTTCGCAACCAATCGGCTTCTCGTGTGCAAAGTATCCCAACAACATCAGTGCCGGTTCCAGGTATCGGTGCATCGTGCTCACGTTGTCGCCTGCCATGGATTGCACCAACGTCATGATCAACTCGTTGATCATCGCCGGCGTGAGCTGCAGCTGCTGCCACGAACGCGGACCGCGCGGTCGCGTGATCACCGCGCTGATCGGCAAGAAGCCTTCGTTGGCCGCCGGTTCGTCAGCCCACTGATCCTCCTCCTCCTCCTCCTGCTCAGGCGGTGGCGGGTATTTTTGGATGAGGAACAGCAACAGCTTGACGCCCTCGGTCTGCGCTGAAAGTGACTCAGCGCGCGAGGTGATCATTTTCAGAATGCCCGGTGCGGCGCCTTGGCTAACAAACTTGTCGGCGGTGGCTGCGTCGACCAATAACCTTCGGAGCGTGATGAAACATTTTTGTGCCAGCTGAGTGTTCGAACTCTTCTCCTTATGGAACACATTCATAACCACCTCGAGTGCGCCCTGGTCGCTGATTTCGCCAACCAATGCCTCATGACGTGAAACGCTAGCAAGGAATGAGATGACGGCGTTCAGCACCACGTTCGAGCTGCTCGTCTCCGAAGCGGTAAGACACCGGCGCACGATCTCCTTATGCAGCGCGACACGCGCATTCGCTTCGTCCCGGGACAGATACTGCAACGCCTCGAGACCGTTTCTGTATATCTCCACCTCGCTATGCCCCAGTCGATTACTGACGTCGTCAATCAAAATCGGCACTAGCGGCGACATGGCCACCATAGTCGCCTCATCGTTCTCCATCAACAGATTGCTCAGACACCGCACACCCGCCTCGTGTACTGCCGGTGGCATTTCGCCAGCCTTGGCCAGAAATGCTCTGTACACGTCCGCTATCCCGTTCGAGATAAAGTGTTGAACGTTCGGCGCATACAAAACCAAGTTTCCCACCGCCTTAAACATACTCGCCATGCAACGAGTCACCTCATCACGCGCATCCCCCTCATAACCCGCAATTGCTGCCATCACGGCCTGCGGAGCCTTCGCCTTCGCATACAACTCTTTCACGTCGTCGCGCTTGAATGTAATGTTGCACAAAACCACTGCAGCCGCGTTCACCCGGTCATATGGAATCAGGGTCGAGTCCTCGCTCTTCGCACGCCGGATCATATTCACGCTCAACTCGATTCCTCGCCCCGCCAAAAATCGGTTCGTGTTCTCCTTATGCTCAACACATATGGCACCCAACGCTAACAAAGCGTTAGTCACCGCGGCAGAACTCGGAGCATCTGGTGGCTCATCCTGGTGCTCCTTAATGAAGTTCAGTGTGCTCTCCACCACACCCACCTGTCCCACCAGGTCTTTGAACTCCCAGATATGTCCCAAAATACCAAGCAAAAAGAACGTGTCACAACTTCCCTGATAGGGCGTACTCTTGTCATCAATCAGCGCCTTCAGTCGTTGCGGCACGCGCTGCTCCTTCAGATACGGCACACAGGCACCCGTAATCGACGCACGCAAACACCGAATCGCCGCGTATGTCACGCGATCGTCGAACTTGCCCAGATCCGCATCATTCCAACAATCTACGAAATCAATGACGGCACTCGTCCCCTCTAACCATCGCCGATGAGGAATGATCTTGGACATGAAGATCAGGCGATGCAGCAGCGGGCAATCCGATTCGGGGTCAAGTCCAGGTGGCTTCGCCTCACCCTCACCCTCGTCCTCGCCTGTAAAACTCAGACCCGAGGCACTCGGTGCCCCGCGACTACCCAGCTTTCGCCCCGCCTGGATGGCTGCGAGCATCGCTTGAGCGAAACCAGGGACTACACCAAACGCGTCCGTCATAGCCGGCGCCAGATGAACCAATTCAAGACCAACGAGAATGAACGCTTGCACCAATTTCTGATCGCGATGTGTCATGATACCGGCGGCCACAATCTCGTCTTCTTCCCGCTGCTCCACCTCTTCCTGGTTCTGAACGAACATGTGCAGCAAACTAAGGCAATTCAGCCCAGCCATTGTCTCGCGACCGGCCTCCGAGTCGAAGACCACATCAGGACTACGTGCCCGCGATGACATTTCACTAAAGACGAAGCCGATGTGATCGGCGACTGCGGGACAATCGCTGGGCGTGAGCACGGGCCCAACGTAGTCCTCCTTGAGCGCCGAGAACCCCTCGGCTGTCTTGCCAAGCTCGAGCTTTTTCCGCTTCCTCGGGACGTCGTTCCCGAGTTCCTTCAACCAGAGCGCATAAACTTTCCGCAGGTTCATGACTTTCGGCTCGTCGGTCTTGCAGAGCTCCTGCAACTCGGCGATTTCGACACCGAAGTCGCTTGACGGGTCCACGTTTTGGGACAGCGAAGTAAATAACTGCTGCATATTCGGCAACTGCATCAAATTATAACCCTGTCCGGGATGCGCCGATAGTGCGGCGACCATCTTAGCGACCAGCCCCTTAAGTTCATCGTCGCGTTCGACAAGGGCCGCATCGCGAATGAGAGAGGGCATCACACTCTGCACTATCCCGTTTCCGTTTTGCTCGGACATACCGGCGACCTCAGCCAGATCCGGGATTACAAACTTCCAAAAACCTGGAGTCCTTGGAGCCTCCGATACCATTTCGCCAACCAGATCAAACATACGCGCACGCCGTAACGCAGTTTGCACATCAGGATTTGCACCCGCATTCTTCCAGTCCGTGATCAGCCCCCGAGCGGTTGCGGCCACCTCCGCTTGGGACATCTGTCCCGACTCGAACAAGTCGCGTAGCTCCTGCACACGCGTCTCCAAAGCTCGCACATTGTCCACATTTGCATTCCCCGCCATCGCGGCAGCCACAATCGCAACCTTCTTACCCAACAACCGCGGATTGCCCGTGGCCATAGTGTCCAACTCCTGCATGAACTCAGGCTTCGACCAAAACTCGGTCCGTGCCTCCTCCGACTCCCGCAGTAAGTTCAACAGAAAATCCCATTCCGCCTCCACCTCGGGCAGGTCTAGATTAGTGTCCAATTCACCTGCGCGCTTAAAGGCCCATCCCAAGTTAGACAGGTTGCCCATGCTCTTGCGTTGCTTCCCCACCGACCCTTCAATCAACCTCTGTCCGTCGGTATCACGACCCAAAGCGTTCAGGAACTGACGAACTAACACTCGATCGCGCGGCTTCAAATTCTCACTCTGCAACAGCTCCACAGCCACGTCCGCCAATCCCTCTCCGCAAGCTTCCACCGCAGCACGTCGAGTATCTGGGTTGTCAAGCAACGCCGTCAAGGCGCAGAAACCTGCTGATGTCAATGTTGGCGACACGTTCGGCTTTCCCGCGCTCTCCAACAACGCTTGCGCAAACGGATCCACCAAATTGTCCATCAGACTTACTGCCATCTGCTGACGTCCATTCTCGTCGTGCACACGCGCCGCCGCCGCCGCCGCTTGCTCCACAAACTTGGCCACGGCCGCCAGCTTCTCAGGCGAAGCCTCGCCCTTGCTCACCGTCTCACCCAACTTGCTACAAGCCTTGTCGAACGGCTCATGAATCATGTCCGGCTTCCCGATATGAGTACGAAGATAAATATCCGACTCACCCAACGCATCTAATAGATCCAGCTCCGCGTCCGGCGCCTCCGCAAGCGACCCGCAATGGTTCAGCCACGAGACAAGCGCCGCCTCGCCGCCCACCACGTTCAGGATGCTGCCAATGCAGTCCGCAATCTCGCCCTTGTCCTTGCCACAGATTTCCTGTGCGTGTCGAATTGTGTCATGCAACACCGCCATACCCTCAAACGCGGCCGGGTTTTTGTGGCCCTGGATCAACTTAGAGAGCACGTTCATGGCCGGTACGATCGTCGCTTGGTCATTGGAGGCGAGAACGAGGGAGGAAAGTAATTCCGCGCGTTTCTGAGCCTCTTCGTCGCTCAGGTCGACAGGCACGGCGCTGAGCGTCTCCAATAGACGAACTAGCGGCGCAACAGCGACGGTGCCTGGGTGCAGGTTGAGTGCCTGGTAGGCATGTTCCACCACAGCTTTACCCCGAACCATTTGCTCGGTCACCTCGTTGGTGTTTGCCCACTGTTTGAGCTTACCGGCCGCGCGACCTACAGTTTCGGAGTTGTTCGATTTGAGTTGACTGACGAGGTCTTTATAGACGCTCGCACACGTCTGATCTTCGAGTCGCAGATCGGGCGGGACGGCAATGAGCATAGAGCAGAGACTGTCACGGTAGCGTTGAATATGCACAGGGTCAGTATAGAGTGCACCGATCCGTTCGCAAATAGGCGCCGCCTTCAATATCACGCCCGCCTCCTTAGGGTCCTTAGTGCTAATGTTAGCCAACGTCTGCATCAGGTCGCACAAAACCTCAACCGGCGGCGGCTCCTGTAAAGTCGAGATCTTCCGAATAATATTGTCAATCGCTTGCGCAGAGCCACTCTTAACGGCCGCTTTAGCGCCCGCCGTAGATGCAGTGATATTCTTCAACATACTCGCAGCCTGCGCTTGCAATGGCTTATTTTCATGTTCCACACAGGCGTTCAACAGGTCTGTCAACGCCGATACTACACCCGTACGTGCCGCAATACGAATGCCCTCAGGAGTATCCATCAATCCCTGCAACGTATCCAACTGTTCCTGCACTGTACCCCAGTCTTGTTGCTGTATACCCTGCCGCAGTAGACGTAGACTCTCTTTGACCTGTTGATCCAAATATCCTTCTGGCATGAAACGCTGTGAAACGACGGCCAGAGGCTTCCTAAGACGGTCGCACCGCGGGTGTGCAGACTGCGCGCCTCGGATAGCGTCCATAATATTCGCTTGTTGCAGCTTCCCAATCATTTCCGGACGATCATTGGGCGCCGCGCTAAGGAGCGCGAGTGCGTCGAAGGAAGCGATCTGCAAATCCGCCCACATCTTGAATTTGCGGCTATTGTTCACAAGGAAGGCGTGCCCATCATTCTGCTCAATACAACGACCGCCAACGGGCGCATTGGTCTTGATTATAGAACCTAAAATCTCAGTACCCACCACCTGCAACTTCCGGTCATCGGGGAAGAGTTGCATGACCTCCAATGTCTCCTTGGTCACATCGTCAAGACGAGCCTCTGTGTTCAGATCACCTGTGTCAATTATCGCTTTCGTACCAGCCATTACTGCGTGGCGCAACTGCGAACCAGGGTTGCGGTTCTGGTCGTGTTTCACCTCATCCGATTTGGCCACTTCAAAAAGTGTCCGTAACGCGCGCACATTGTCACCTCGAGCCGGATGCAATGCCGTCAGACAGTCAACCGTCGCCTTCACCTCCGCATCGCGAGCTGCTGACGCCGGCTGCAAGGCCAACTTACGGATGTGTGCACCTAACAACACATCCGTGCTCCCCTTTTCAACCACCTCCTTCAATCGAGCCACACGACCCAAAGCCGAGAGAACTGTCAACTGCCCAATGGTCTTCTTACTATCCGTGCCCTCCAGCGACCGTTTTGTGCGCGAGACCGCATCGTTATAAGTCTCCTCATCCGCGAATAGGTCCAGCGCACGTAGACACGCGTGATACGGAGGCGAGTTGATCGGTACCCGACTCAAAATACCAAAGGCCGCGCCGCAGGTCTGCGTCTTATCCAACTTTGACTTCGCGTCTCCACAAGACGCCAGGTTCTTCAACGCTTCCGCCACGTTCCTCATCACGACAGGACCGCAGTCTGAGCGCTCCGTCGTAGTCGTACAGATCTTGTAAAACGAATCCACATCCACCAGCTCAGCCGCGGATACACCACTCGTCATCAGCTCCATGGCCTTCGTCAGTTTCTCGCACACAGCCGCGTTGCACTTACCTGACTCAAGACACTTAAAGAAGGCGCGCAACGCCTCCGAATCACACACGAAATCACAACACGTCTTCGTCTGGCACACAGACTGGATAACCGCCGCCACACCCATGACCAGGTTCTCGTTCTTCGGATTTGCCTGCAACAATTTCAGCAACGAGTCGAGTCCTTCACCTGAAAGGAATTGCTCAGCGCCTTTCTGAGTGCCCACAAGCGGCGCAATAAGGGCACAAAGTGCAGCCGCCACCTCGGGGTCCTTCGTCGACCTCAGAATGTCGACCGAAGCCTGCAACGCGCCCGCGTCCATCACGGCTTGGTAAGTCGCCGGCTTCTTGGCGATGTTACCCAACATCTTACAGCAACCCGTCAGGGGCTCCGAGGCACCCGAGTCACCTGCGACTGAGATCATAGACTGAACCAAGGTCGCAATATTATCACCCTCCGCACACTGGGCCGTCAAAGCCGGCACATAGGATATGGGAATCAAGACGCTCATTGCCTGGTGCTTGGCTGCTTTGGTCGCTCCCGGGTCCTTCAGCACAGCTAGGTTATGGGTCAGCGCCTCCCGCGTAAACATCGACTGCATCAACTTGACGCAGCGCTCGCGAACCGCAGGCACATTATCGTAACGGTCGATCAGCTTCATCATCGATTTCATACCCTCCGCATCCGCCGTCTTGTGCTTATACACCCGGTCTACGACCTCAATTCCGCGTAACAGCAACGGCACCGCCTCCACTGGATCAGCGTTCGAAACCGTGTTGCTGTTCAAATAATTCATGATCGTCTTAACACCGCCCGAGTCCGAGAGCGACTTGACGCCTTCCGGCGTCTGAGTAGCACCTTTGGCCAAGTCAATCAACTGATCCGCTGTAGAGAGAGGCGCCGTCTCCTTCAAACTACCCAACAACGCTCCAGCCAAACGATTCACCAACTCGCCCGGGATCCGATCAGCCTTGCTCTTGCCCAACGAATTCACGATGTTCAAAGCCGACTGCAACGCCTTGTCGTTCGAATCACCCTTGAAATCAGAAATCCAATCCACCACCTCTTCGTATGCCCCATTCTTCACAAAAATGTCCACCGCATCGTCGTCATTCACCTGAATCATCTGCAACACCATCGCTTCCATTATGCGTAGAATCGTCACGCTAATTTGCTCGTCCTCACGGAACTTCTTCAACGCAGGGACCAGACGTGGTAAACATCCCGCATGCAAAGCTTCCAAACCATTAATCGCCCCCTGCGCCGAATTCGGGTCAGAAATGTTTGACAACGGCTGCAAGGCGAAAAAATACGCCCCCTTGAAAGAGATCTTCGTCGGAATACCGCTCACGGCATTCTGAACTTCTGCCGAGATATTAGGCATCTAAAGAAAGAAACACAAGTCCAAACCAATTAGGGCCGCGCATCTCGTCCGAAAACATTAATGGCCACGAACGTATCAATTCAGCACGCAACGACCAAACCCAGCGTCAGTATGCAACAGTAAACGAAATTGTGCGCAATAAAAGTGTGTGCACACATCTGGGACATACTTTACAATCCACATAACCATTCAGCGGATTGCACTCGTCTCCAACTTACCGCATGTAAAGCCGTTAATGACCGGTTCCTAAGTTCGCACGAATTTTACGTGCACGGCCTGATTCTCTTCTGAGCCAGTACCGGACTATCTCGCACCAACAGCCTGCTGTCTTATACTTGAGGGAAAACTGCAAGCCTCAGATTTATCATAGGTTCATAATTTACGTGATACTACAGGATTTCTACGCAATTCTCCGACCAGCGAAATATGTGTGCACCATCCCCTTTATTTCGCCTATCAATGGCCTTCGATCAAGTGCTCCTTGCCAGAGTGACCCGCTAGAGCGAAAACACATATTGAGTCATACCGATCCCCAAACCAAATGCTACGATTTCATGTATCTAAAAATGTCGGCTCTACATCGGGACCGCAGCATAGTCCCTGTTTATATTGTTATAACAAACTCTTCTCGCATGGACTTTTCTCTTATCGGGTCATCTCGTAAGGGGATGTGACTTTTTTTAGCGATTGCGTTCTGCACACACTTTCGAACATCACGATGAACATACCTCTGGGTTAGAACGCAACGAATAACAAACGCAGGAGGTCCTCCACCATGGACTAGTTGGTTCTCCCACCATTTTCGTGTCCTCTTTTCTGAACTGAGCATAAATTCGTCTAGTTCTTGTAGTACTTGTTTAGGACTTATATGCTTTACAGGGCCAATACTATGGTCGCTATAGTACACGTGATCTATTTGAACCAACGCTGCCTTATCAAAGGTACCATAATGAACAATATTCTCTGGTCGGTTCTCATACCCGTACAGCTCGCCATAATGCTGTTCGTATGCAGTAGGACTGAACCCTTTCTTATGACTCATCCTATATAACATTTTACGCCAAGAAGGATTGTTTGCATGATTAGGGGACACGCTAGGAGCGATCAGTATCAGTCCCTTAGCAGTCACGCTATCGCTCAGGTTATCAGCCACCTCATGATCTAACTCAAGATCCATCGACGCGGGCGGGTGTCTCGGTCCTGCAACTTTTCGGTCCGGACGAAGCCCCAGGTTTACGACCTCGGCGTCCACATGCGGGTCTTGTTCCACAGATCTCTTCTTCCGGTCGACCTCAAGTCTAAATTCATCTGTGTGAGTGTGGCCGAAATACTGACCCTTAACTACGTCACGATAACCATCCAGAATTGCCTCGTACTTTTTGGCCCACACGTGATTCCACTCAGCGTCAACTGTGATGCCCATAAACGCATTCCTAAAGAGGCTTTGAGCCGGTGGTACATGACCTACAATCAGCACCTCTCTCTTGCCCGCACGTGCATCTGCTAACTTCTGGGAAAGCCACGCAAATTGACCGGCGGGATCCCCGCTTACAGTCACCAGATCTGGTTCCACCAGATCTGGTTCCACCAGATCCATTTCTGTCGTAGCATCTTCCTCTGCCGTTGTCGCGGCAGCAGCTTCGTCCTCATCCGTAACTACCTCATCTGACCTCACAGCACTGCCGCTTTCATTCTGACCCTTTTGAATTTCAGAGCCGGTTGTCTTGTTCACGGGTAAGCCTTCAGCAGTGACAAATTCTTCAGCAGTTCCAGCCACGTCGGTCGCTTGTTCCTCCGTAGCGGTGTAATCACCATCTCTGTCTGCTTCGGTATAATCATCCGTGTCATCGTTCCGACCCCTTCCGTTTTTGTTCTTCTTACTCTTTCTGTTCTTTCCGTGCTTCTTCCGGTCTTTCGTCAGATTCACCAAAAGTTCTTCAGCGTACTTCTCGATAATTGGAATCCCGTCAGGCCCCACAGCAAGGTGATGATACCAAACGGTGTTCAGCACCAGCACGTCAGTGTTAGGAAGCGCGTCAACGTTAGTCATGTAATACATACCCCGAAGAAAATTCCTTTTCTCGTTCTCTGGTACGAGCCAGCCCTTCCACACGTCGTATAGATCGGAATTCCAAGAACTGTTTTCTTCCAGGACGTAGTCACTCAGCAAGTCGTTGTTTCCCACTGCCATGATGACAGGCGTTCTATTCTTCCGCTTAGATCCATGACCCGAGTTCTGGCCGTCTGTTTCCTCAACTGCTTCCCCAGAAGTCTGAGAGCCGTCTACCGCTTCCGATATGGCCTCCGTGTCGCGTTTCCGTTTCTTTAAATTGATATTGTAAACGCCTTGATGGAAAAGATCTTGGTCGACCAGTTCCTGATTGAAATGGCCTTGATCGAGACTGAAATGGTCTTGATCGTAGAAGTCGTGCAAGCTGGGCTCGTACAAGTTTGGGTCTCCGTTCTGCTCAAAGGACTTGACGATGAGCTCTAAAAAATTGACAACACTTCCATCCCAGAGATCTAAGTCGAGGGTACCAGCTTCTTGGAGATGGAAATACCGCTTGATTATAGAAGACGTTATGGCGGTAGTAAGGAATCGGAGGTGCGCCTGTTCCGGAAGCCAGTAGTGAGCGGCGGCATCTCCTGTAAACAGAACAAAGTCGATGGTCTCGAGAGTTTTGGTAGCAGATTCAAACACACTCCACATCAGGGAAGGCGGTGAGTCGCAGCCGTACCGACCGTGATAGGCCGGCAGTAACGGCCTCATCTTCTCGTCAGTCTCCCAACTGTACTTAGCAGCCTGTTCTCGGGGAGGACATCCCCTGACTCCAGGGAAATCGTGCTCGAATAAAGGAATAACATCGGGTCCGACCTCGATGACCATATCCCCCTCTGTACCCGCCGTGTCGCCTCTCGCACTTACCATACCTCCATCCACACTCCCCACAAGCCCCGCACTGCCCACAAGCCCAGCACTGCCCACAAGCCCAGCACCTTCGCCTATGAGAGTACTATTGCTCGGATTGTACGGGTAATGCAGCGGTAAACGTCGTTTGATCGCTTCGAATGTATCCGTATCGTTCACTAGTCTCCGAATTAGGTCCAGCGGAAGGCCCCGCTCATGACCCGGATGGCCATGGTCGCACTCGCGCGATCGACATGCTTCCGACACCGACAAAGGCTGCCGACAGAAGTCATGCTGGCCTCGATGCGGATCGTACGCCAAGTCCAAATGAATGTCCGATATCCACACAAAATCATTCGAAGCTACAGCTCCAGCGATTACCGCTGCCACGGGAACGAGCCTCATGTGAAGCACTCAGAAAATAAAGGTCAAACTCGGAAAGAACAAAAAGGGACAGACAGATTGAGCCACGCACGAGACACAGAGCGGACGTCAGTCGTGACGAAATGTCTTGTGTGTATAAAACCAGGCAACCTAAATCGTCGCTATCTAAATAATACAAACCTTCCTCGGGTGTCCTTTGGTCAATACTAACTATCAGGTCCACACCAGCCCGCCGATCAGCCAACGGCGCCGGTTAGCTGTCGTTGGTGCCTTCCGCGGTGGGTACGCGCGAGAGTCCACTGTCGGACGTGATGAGATGTGTACGGTAGAGGTGAAATGCTCCTTCGGGGTTGAGGGAGCCCTGGTGGATGAATGCGGCTCGGACGGGTAGGACGGGGGACTGG